CATAGAGAGACCCCGACTCTACACACACACAAAAAAAAAAAAATTACAAAAACTAGCCAGATGTGGTGGCATATGCCCGTAGTCCCAGCTACTCAGGAGGCTGAGGCAGGAGGATCGCTTGGGCCTGGAAGGTGGAGGCTGCAGTGAGCTATGATTGTACCACCGCACTCTGACCTGGGAAACAGAGGGAGACCTGGTCTCCAAAACAAAACAAAGGCTGGGTGCGGTGGCTAACGCCTGTAATCCCAGCACTTTGGGAGGCCGAGGTGGGCGGATCACCTGCAGGAGTTCAAGACCAGCCTGGCCAGTATGGTGAAACCTCGTCTCTCCTAAAAACACAAAAATTAGCCGGGCATGGTGGTGGGTGCTGGTAATCCCAGCTACTCGGGTGGCTAAGGCAGGAGAATTGCTCAAATCCGGGAGGAGGAGTGTAGAAAGTAAAATGTTTCCTCTTCGAAATTTCTCTTCTTGTTAAAGAATAAATCCTAAGTGTTAGAAATAATTTCTTTTAAAGACTAGCTTCCTTCAAACCTCCTTGCTTTGTGCTAATAACTCTTTGTTAAGCCCTATCCTATGTAGCTGTTAGATATAAGAGAATAAGTACATTCTATGTTCTTGTACTTTAACCAAGATATCTGTGCTGGCTGTGCTTCCTTATTTGGAAATGTTATTACTTTGGAAATGCTATTACTTTTCTTTTCTTTCTCTTTCTCTCTCTCTCTCTTTTCTTCTTTCTTTCAACAGAGTCTTGCTCTGTTGCCCAGGCTGGAGTGCAGTGGCACAATCTCAGCTCACTGCAACCTCTGTCTCCCAGGTTCAAGTGATTCTCCTGCCTCAGCCTCCCGAGTAGCTGGGACTACAGGTGCATGCCATCACTCCTGGCTTATATTTTGTGGGGTTTTTTTTTTTTTTTTTTTAGTAGAGATGGGGTTTCACCGTGTTAGCCAGGATGGTCTTGATCTCCTGACCTTGTGATCAGCCCACCTCAGCCTGACAAAGTGCTGGGATTACAGACGTGAGCCTCTGCGCCCACCAGGAAATGTTATTACTTTTCTAAGTCTTTTCATCAGCAACTTCCTCTTTTCTTCTGTTCTCCATTACTTTGAGCTATTTAGAAAAGTTTTAAGTTAGCCATTCAGGTTCAGTTTAATTGTAAGGTCTAGCTCCAGCCAATGGAGACAAGACACAGTAGCAAGGAAAAGCTGCATAAAGGATAAAAATTGCTTCCCTCCTTTATTCAGGTGTGCTCTCGCCATTGTTCCATCCGCAAGGAGCACCCTTTCTGCAGAAAGTAAAATTACCTTACTGAGAAAACTTCTTTTTCTAAATGCTGATTTTTCCTTGTGGTACTGGGGAACAAGCATTCTGTTTCTGAATAAACATTTTACTTATAACATGGAGGTTGTAGTGGGCCGAGATCACACCACTGCGCTCCAGCCTGGGTGACAGAGTGAGACTCCATTTCAACAAAACAAAACCAAAAACAAAGACTGGTTCTTGGCTTCCCGTGGCAAAGGCCTTGGCCACCTCATTTTGGTCATTAACACCATACATGCAGCCACTAGTCTTTTGTTCCTCACCGAGGGGGACAGGAGTTCTGTGTGAGGAGGTGGCCCGAAGGATGGGAGGATGGATAATTGTAGCTTGGAAGCAGAGGCGTGGTGGGTTTAATCCACACTGACAACTGCCTGATGGACTTCTGGGAGGCAGAAATGGGGCTGGGAGATGCTGCCTGATGGACTTCTGGGTGGCAGAAATGGGGCTGGGAGATGCTGTTTTTCCTCCATGTCACTGTCATCTCCCCTCCTACTCACCACCACCCCATCTCTGGTCTCCAGCGTCTGAGTGGTCCCTGCCTTCACATTGCTCCTACTTCCTGTGCACCTGCAGCTCAGACATTTCTGGGAATCTGACTAGAAAATGCAGAATCTGGACTGGGTGCCGTGGCTCATGCCTGTAATCCCAGCACTTTGGGAGGCCGAGGCGGGAAGATCACTTGAGGTCAGGAGTTCGAGACCAGCTTGGCCAACATGGAGAAACTCCGTCTCTACTAAAAATACAAAAATTAGCTGGGTGTGGTGGTGGTGCGCACGTAGTCCCAGCTACTCGGGAGGCTGAGGCAGGAGAATTGCTTGAACCTGGGACACAGAGGTTGCAGTGAGTCGAGATTGTACCACTGCACTCCAGCCTGGGCGACAGAGCAAGACTCCGTCTCAAAAAAAAAAAAAAAAAAAATTAAATTAAATTTTACAAAGCAGAATCTAGGTCCAGCAGCAGGCTCCAGGGTCAATGAGACTCCCCCACCAAACAGCCCTTGGTGGAGTGTGAGCAGCCTTGGCCGCTGTGTCACCATCCTGCTCAGCTCCTGGGACGCCCTGTTCCTGCCATCCACAAGCTCTTCGGCCTGTCTGCTCCGGCAGCTGCCTAAGACGCCCATCCCACCCTCCCTGCTGGTTGAAATCCTGCCCAGCCCGCAGAGCGAGAGCATATGCCATCTCCTCCTCCTCCTCTTCCCTCCTCCTAGAGATCTTGATAGGGGCAGTCCTCCTTGATGCTCTGCCAAGACATGAAGTAACTCTCCCTCCTCTGGAGTCCCACAGTACTTCCTCTGCATTTTTCTTGGGGATTCTCAGTACCTGACTCATCTATAAGCCCTGGAAGGCAGGGGTAGGCCTACAGGGTGAATAGCCCAGGGACAGCTGGTATCTCCAGGCCGCTTCATCATCCTCTGAAAGAATTTAGGATATTCTAGGTTCCAGGTCCTCCCTTTAGGATGCTAGAGCTGAACTTCTGAGATGGAGCCAGAAATGGGCCTCTTCTTTTTTTTTTTTTGAGACGGGTCTCGCTGTGTCTCCCAGGCTGGAGTGCAGTGGCGCAATCACAGCTCACAGCAACCTCGAGCTCCTGGGCTCAAGCAGTCCTCCCACCCCAGTGGGAGTATCCTGAGCACTCTCTGGGGGGTTCTTAAGGGGTAGCCCTTGGTTTATATGGAGAGGTAGTGACCACCCTCAACCAAGACACAACCTGACCTAGCTTGAGTCCCAGGTCCTGTCAGGGTTGTTGCAAGGATCCCATAAAATGGTAAATGTACCCCAAATACAGCCAGCATAGTGCTCTGCACACAGAACCACCAGGAGGAAACAGCGCTAAAGTACCACGCTCAGAGTCCTGCTCTCTACAGCAGTGAAAACCGAAACCACCAAGTTATCCACCCTCAAGGTTATCCAGCTGTGAAAAGAATGGCGGGGCACAGTGGCTCATGCCTGTAATCCCAGCACTTTGGGAGGCCAAGGCGGGAGGATTGAGCAAGGCCGGGAGGACCGGCCTGGGAAACAGCAAGTCCCCCCGTTCCCCTGTCCCCAGTCTCTACAAAAAATAAAATTAGCCGGGTGTGGTGGCAGGCGCCCATAGTCCCAGCTACTGGGGAGGCTGAGGTGGGATTATCGCTTGAGCCCAGGGGTTGGAGGCTGCGGTGAGCCATGATCACATGACTACACTCCAGCCTGGGCGACAGAGACCCTGTCTCTAAAGAAAAATTTAGAAAAGTGACAAGGGCAAAGACACAGTGAAAGGATGTAGGGGGGGCAGCTCCTCTCCAAAAATGGCCACCAAAGGGTCAGGTCTCCCGCAGCCACACCCTTGTGTGGTTCCTGCCCACGTCGGTGGGGGCCTTATGACTTGCTCTAACCTAGAGAATGCAGTACAAGCAAAGCTGGGCCAGTTCTCAGCCCAAGCCTTAGAGCCTGGCAGCTTCTGCTTTTGTCTATGGGAACCGAGTCATCAAGGAACCTGTAGACCTTGCTATAGAGGCCCCGTGAAGGAGAGGCCAGAGACCTCGGGGAACAGGCTAGCTGTCCGGGCATCTCCCAAACCCCAGCCTCGCATGCTCCAATCCAGCCAAGCCTCCAGAGACTGCAGTGGGAGCTGTGGGCACAGAACCACCCAGCTGAGCACTGACAACCCCCAGGGTCAGGAGATATGAACAGAAATAGCCTAAAAGCCACCAGACTGGAGAGGGCTGGGATTGTTCAGTAGCAGATAACCTGAAGAGCAGGCTTCCTTCTCTCAACCTATGAAATACACAAGAGAAGACAAATATTACCAGTGGTTCCTTTCCCGCTTTATTTTTTAGCTGCTTTTTGGGATTTACACAATGATCATGTATTACTTGTAGAAGAAAACAATGTGATCCTTTATGATAAAATCCATTTCAGCTTTAGCTTTTTTGTAAAAAAAAAAAAGCTGTTGTGGGCAGATGAACATCCAAGTACTGGGCACACCTCTAGCCCTCCCTCTTCCACTGAAGGCCATTGCCTGTTGCTAGAAAGTTCCTTCCCAGGTATGCAGCTTTCAGTTTCCACTTCAGAGGCCGCAGCGTCTGGGGAATGGACTGCCCCCAACACTAAAGGGAGTCAAATCTCTTTAATTCCCCACTCCTCAGTAAGACGAAGTCCCTTCTTTAGGCCACTGATGGAAAACCTGGAACCCCCTTTTGATGGCGGCACGATGTCCTCAGCCTTGACACAGCAGCTGGGGTTTGGGGTGTCCACGCACACCCCCACCCTGGTGTCCCCACAGCTCTGGCCATCGGCTGTCTCTGCCACTGAACATCAGGGTTCGGTCAGAAGATGAAATCCCAAGGGGGACAGAGGTCAGCAGGAAGCTCAAAGAGAAAGGTGCTGTTTGCTTAGCCAGAAAACGGCTGCTCGGCGTTCACCGCTGAACTATGACCCTGTGGAGGTGAACCACCCCCGAGAGGAATCAGGCCCGGGCGATGCAAGGGTTCCAACAGGAGGGACGGGAGGAACACGTACAGGTAACCTGTGAATACTGTGTCCAATTCCACAGATTAACATTTTAGACTTTCTTGAAGCTACTGATGAAAGCATCACGCTTCAGTCTAAGTTAAACATCATCTAGTTCTGATTAGTAATGAAGAGGTGGCAGACACTCTACAGTCAGCTCTCACAGGGAAGAAAGCACAGCACTGACAGAAGGGACCTTGAAAAATAAAATCAAGGACGGCTTTTATTGATGTGCCCATTGAGCCACCCACAATTTGGAAGGCATGATGATGTTAATACAGTAATCATCACCAAAGCAAATTAAAATACAAAGGTTATCTGCAACAGCTTTGCAGTGACATGATGCCTTTATAAATTAAGGAAACTGGCCGCCCGTCACGGCGGCTCACTTCAGGGTCTTCACGAAATCTTCCCCCTTCTTGATGGAGGCCTTCAGCTCGGGAATGGCATCTGAGATCATCTTCTCCTCAAAAGAGGAGACTTGGCCAATGCCCAGGTTCTTCTCGATGCCCTTTTTCTGAGGGACAGAGGGAGATGGGAACATGTTAAAATGAAGTTTCCAGGAAAGTGCTTGTTACAGAAACCCCGACCTGTCGCTTCATCAGCCCCGCCGAGGAGTCTGTCTACACCTGTGGGTTCTGGGTGCCTTGCTGGGGGCACCCTGCTGACAGGGTGGGTGGGACTGAGCTGCGGTCGGGAGTATGAGGCTCAGAGTCAGAGGGTGCCAGGCAGGGGTCCCAGCACTGTCATTGCCTGGAAAAGTACCCTGGACAATGACTGACCTTCCAAATGTGTTTCCTGAGCTATAAAACAAGCACTATCTACCTCGGTGCACACGAGGACAGTGCGACAAGCACCCGGACGCCAGGCACTCGATCATCAGGAACACTTCACCGTATTCTCCCCAACAGAGCCTGTTTCTGGGTTTTTGTCTCTCCCCGCAAGGTTGATAAAGGACTGAAAACATTGTCACAGTCACCTGAATCAGGTGTCACTAAGTAGGTAAATGTCTGACATTGGCAAAAACAACAGATGTCTCTGCCACCATCTCACCTCCAGAAAACTCAGCAGTTTGTCTGGCAACAGCCTCAGTCCTCACCTCAACTCAATCCCCTCCTACTGCCTCCCCTGGCTCGAGGGCCTATGAGAGCCGGGTGCGTCTCACCTGCAGGCCCCGCCACACCACACACCTGCACCGACACGGGGACAGAACTGCACTGTCGAGTGCCTGTCTCTCACCAAGGCCTGGGACCACAGCTGAAGGATCTTTCCACATTGGAGCATCTCTGAGAAAGGCCCCGGGGTGGCCCAAAGAGTCATGATACTTTCTGGTCACATGACGAAGGCAACCACACATCTGCCTGATTTCTGCCCACAGGTGAGAAATGGAAACTCGGCTTGAGGGCGTATGAGTGAGACCTAAGGGTTTCTGTTTGCTGAAGACTCAGGCTGTCTGGACAGGACACACTCTGGAAGAGGAATTGGGCCTAGCAGCCCCCGCAGTCAGAACAAGACTAACAAGGAGCAACAGGGAGGTGTTCAGGCAGGGTGGGGAGGCCTCCCTGGGCTGCCTGGAGATGGAGTGTCTCATCAGTCAACATTCCTGTAGCTGCTGGGCACCCGCTGTCAAACTGCGGGGAAGGAGACCCTCTTGCTGGGAGGTTCGCCCTTCACAGTCCATGATCCTCCCAGTTCTTCTTTCTCAGGTGTGCGTCCACCCTCGAAAACCCCAACGCTTGCCAGGCAGGGACATGAGGTTACTGCACAAAGGGCTGGGGAGAGCTCCTGAGGCTTAAGCAGAGGGAACGCTCCTTCTTCCACAGTCAGAAGGACCCATGCCTGGATACGTACCCCAAGCAGCAGGGGCGTGGAGAAGTAGGTACATTCCGTTTCCTGTGACTTAACGAAGGAACATTCCACAACACCTTCCTTTCCATTCATTGCATCCACAAGGGAGAAGACGAAGCGGGCGCCCGCATACGCCATGGAGAGGGTGGCAGAGCCTAGGGGGGCACAGGCAGGTCAGCCAGGCTGGCGCCACACCGTGATGCCCAGGTGAGTCGTCCCGCCAGCCAAGAAACCTGCACACCTTCCAGCCTGACAGTCGGGAATTTCAGTCAGCACCCCTAATTTCTTTTTACTTATACATGAATGGTGTGGAATTGGCTCTGCCATCCTCAAAAATGACTCTTAACCCCACAAAGCAGGCCGAGCTGCCCCCTCACACAGGGATTTTCCACCAGGCAACTGCAAGTCAACACTGAAAAGGACCATCCGTGCCCAGGGACAAGCAGCATTTCTCCCCAACCCCGAGCTCTTGCAGGGCCTCACTGGCACCCAGCCCCGGGGCTGCCTAAGACTCTACCTGCTCCGGCTTTAGCCTTGACCACCTCCGTGCCGGCCTCCTGGATCCGCCCAGTGAGCGCCGTCAGCTGGTCCTGGGGAAAGTCCACCTTGGGGGTGCACTGCAAGCCAAGCGTGGGGTCAGTGAGTGGCTTCCAGCCCACGACTCCAGACCCACCGCCTCCCGCTCCCACTACTCCCGACCTCTCCTCTCCCTCCCATCACCAAGGCGTGGGAAAGGTTTTCTGTAAAGAAGAAAAAGAAAACCTTTATAGAAAAATGACACACTACTCTGGGCACACTGCCTGTGGGGTAGCCCTGCTCCACAAGGAGCAGCAAAAAAATAATAATAAACACATTAAAAAAACAAGACAAAGTCAAATCAACTCTGTTGGGAAGTGTGGTGAGTCCCCTACTCATTTGTTTTTTGAGGCCAGGGTCTTGCTCTGTCGCCCAGGCTTGAGTGGTGCAGTGGTACATCATAGCTCACTGCAGCCTCAAGCAATCCTCCCGCTTCGGCCTCCCAAATGCTGGGATCACAAGTATGAGCCACTGTGTCCAGCCCTGGACTCATTTTTGAAAAAAGCACCTCGCCCGCTCCGGCCTAACCAGTAACCCAGTGAGGTTCCCAACAGTGGTTCTCCTTGCGTGCTGGAGCCGGCGGGGCCCTGAGCAGCTTCTGCTCCAGGACTGACACCACCCTGCAGCAGAAGGGCGGGGCTGCCTACAACAGGAGCCATTCTAAAACCCTCCGCACGGTCGGGTCTTCTCCAGTCTGCCCGGACCGCCTCAGAGCAGGGCCTGGTAAAGGGGTTCCTGACCTTGAAGCCCCTCACAAGGTCACATGCGTATACCTGAGAGATCAGGGGGATGATGGTCTTTCCGGCATGGCCACCAATGACAGGGACGTTGACTCGAGCTGGATCCAAACCCTGGTGAACAAAGTGTGAAGCTGGATGAGTTAACAAGCTCTTTCAGTATGAAACATGTCACAGCCATCCACAGCCGCGACACTGGAAAAGCCCCGAGAACTCAGCGTGGAACAGTTTGCTGGGAGGAGGCCCTGTCCAGCCCCTGCTGCACTTGGATCTCCTGCCATGGTGCCCCCAAAAGGCTAAGCATGAGCGCCAGCAGGCGCCGTGAGGGCTCGCCGCCATCTGGCAAGGCCACCGCAGGTCCTTCCTTCACAGTGAGCATTTGTGCCCACTGGGGATGGGCACAGGAGGATGCTGCCCCCTGCAGAGGCCCCCCCGCCGGGCCTGGCATCCTCTTTCCCAGAGCCGGCTCCACTCCCCAGGCACAAACCCAGACTCCTCCCCACACAGAACAATCCAAATTCCCTTTTCTTCAGGCCCCATGGAGCAAAATTCAAACCCATTCCAGGGCACCCAGGAGTGAGAAGTCTGGCACCTCAAACAGTGATCAGGACAGAAAGAACAAACTGACTCTATGGGTCCAAACACCACAGTTTGAGGCTGCCTCATTTCGTAACCTGGAGGTACCACACCCCCAAGAATCTGTGAACCAGGTTTTTGTTTTGTTTTTTTAGACAGGTTCTCTTTTTAGACAGGTTCCTTTTAGATAGGTTCTCTATCTCCCAGGCTGGAGTGTAGTGGCACAATCTTGGCTGGCTGCAACCTCTGCCTCCTGGACTCAATCATCCTCCCACCTCAGCCTCTGAAGCAGCACACATCTCCACACCCAACTTATGTTTTTTAAATGTTTTGTAGAGATGGGGTGTTGCCATGTTGCCCAGACTGGTCCTGAACTCCCAGGCTCAAGTCATCCTCCTGTGTTGGCTTCCCAAAGTGCTGGGATCCCAGGCATGCACCACTACACCCGGCTGAACCAAGTATTTCTTAAAACAGACAATAACCTGGTGGGAGTAATGGCAGGGAGGGAACAACCACCTGCTCCGATGGCCATGGCCACTCAAGAGCCCAGCCCTAGGTTGGGAAATGAGGCTGGCCTGGGAGAGAGAGGATCAGTCTCATGCACGGGCAAAGCAGGATCAGCTTCATGGAGCTGGGGACCGAAGACCTGAGAGGTTTAGCTTGGCTGTGTGTAAGCACACAGGTGTGGGCACTGTGCGGTCACCAGAGACACGGGGCTGAAGGGACACAGCCCTGCTTTCCAGAGGCCTGTCCTTGAATACAAGACTCCTAGAAATGGATGTTCCAATGGTGCGTGCTAAGACAGGGGACAGGGCAGCTCTGCAGCAAAGGGGAACGTGGCATTGGCCTGGGAGGTCCTGGAGTCATGTTGAAAGGGAATATGGCAGGTGAGAGGATGAGGGAGGAACCAGCCATCGGAAGTTTAAGGATTGATATGCATTCTTGATACGATACAGGAAATTTCCAGAAGGTCAGGCAGCCGGGGGTAATGACAGTCCACTTCACTGTTGGAGGCGGGGCCAGGGGATCTCACAAGGGCCAAGGTACCCTGTCCCCAACTCTTAACAGTGAAGCTTCAAGGCTGAGACAGGACTGCCCAACAGGACTTCCTGCGAGGACAGAGGAGCCATATGTGGCCACGGAGCATCTTAAATGTGGTTTGTGTGGAAGAGGGATACAATTTTAATGTTATTTAACCATAAATAGCCACATGTAGCTAGTGGCAGCTGTGGGGCAGGGCAGGACTAGGGCCTGGGGTATGCCCAGCCCTGAGAGCCCACGAGAATGAACTCTGTTGCCTCCAGGACGCCAGGGGCTGTGCCTCTGGAGGTGGGAGGTGGTGCCGTGCCTGGTGTGTCCAATTCCAGACTGTGGCAATCCCAGGGGAACTCTGTACGTACCTGTGCTCACCTGCTCACTCAAACTGTCTTTTTTTCTTTTTTTTTAAGAGACAGGGTTTTGCCCTGTCACCCAGGCCGGAGTGCAGTGGTGCAATCACAGCTCACTGCAGTCTCAAGTGGCCCTCCCACCTCAGCCTCCCAAAGTGCTGGGATGACAGGCGTGAGCCACCGTGCCTGGCTTAAACTGTCTCTCGGACTCAAGTCTCTCTCCCATTCCATGGAACTCCAAGGCTTGGGGCCATGCCTTTCGAACCTCTCTGATCCCCACACCTGTAACAGAGCCCCAGCACCAGGCCCTCAGGTACGTGCTGCCGTGTCTGCACCTCTAATTCCTCAGAAGCAGATGTGCCTGGCACTCAGGAGTAAAATGGAGGCCGAGGGTGCTGTCTATGCACTTCCCACCACGCCGCGCGCATAACCTCAAATCTGCCATCAGAACGAAAAGGGCTGAAGTTCAAGAGGAATCCTTTCTGGGGCCAAAGGAAGTGGTTCTGCAGGCTCCACAATGGAAACGAGTCGAAAGCAGGCTGTGCAAGGCACTGAGGACTCCAGGCCCGGCACTGGCACCAAATCAAGCCGACATCAAGCCACACCCAGCAGCTCAGTCTCAGTCCAGCAGCCCAAGGGGCCAGGCCCGGACTCTCCAGGGTAAGGTACCACAGGCAACCCAAAAAAGTCAGTGCCAGGGACCAGGGCCAACAACAATTCTGATACTTTGGGACTTCCGCCACTTTCCTCGGTTCTTCATGTTTGTTAATTTTCCCACCCTTTATCTAGTGGCCAGCAGGTAAATCCTCCTAGGACCAGTTTTCAGCAGCAAGGAGAAAGGGGAGGACTGGGGGCGCCCCGTCCAAGTCCAGCCACTGAGAAGCCCAGAGAAGGTTATGAACCCACAGTGCTCTCGGCGAGAAGGAAGACAGCGAGAGCTGGGAGACAGACGCTGGCCAGAGTTGCCGCCGGTTGGGGCCAGGTACCCGGAACCCACAGGAAACACAGGGGCTGCTTCCACCAAGAGGGCGAACTCTCAACACACTGAAAACCCCCAAGTGACATGTGACCTGGGCAGGCCCTGGTGTCTTCCATGCCCGTAAAATGAGCACGGGTGGCGGGAGAAGTTCAGAAAGGTCACCTGAGCAACACTCACGCCGCCCTTACCTTCAGCTCTGCAACAAAGGTGTTGGCTCTGACGATGTCCAGGGTCGTCACGCCGAAGATCTTGCTGGGGTTGTACACTCCGTGCTTCTTGAAAACTTCTGCTGTGATGGGGATGGTGGAGTTAACCTAGGACATCCAAGAGACAGGCGTGGCTTGCCCTGGGTTCCAAGAGCAGGGCCAAGCCACAGAAGGAAAAGGGCTTTTTGTCAGACCTTCCCAAGGGTCTAACTAGTCCAAAGACGCCACATTAACCTGCCCTGTCTGATAACTGTGTACTGGCAAGCCACCCACCACAAAGGACACGCCACACCACGTGAACAAAGAAACCCTTAACTGTAGAGGATGCTTCTTCCCTTGGTGGGCCTTCAGCTATCAGCTGAAATGTGTGATGATGCCTTCACAGGTCACCTTCCGCGCGGCCGGGACTCACAGCTGCAGGGCCACTCCTGATGGGAGGGCGGCGCACAGTGGCTGTGTGCTCCAAGGAAGCAGGCCCACTGGCAGCTTGTTCCCTCTGTGCTACGACCCTGGCCAGGTCATCCTAACTCCCCAGGACCCAGTTTTTTCTTCTGTAAGTGGGAGAAATGACGACCTCATGAAGTCGTTGTAAAGACTAAATGACTTCATGCAGGGCGAGCGCTGAACACATCACCCGGCACGCCAGAAGATGACATAACAGCAAGGTTTATATCAGGCAATGGTTAGCTCACCAACACAGGGAACAGCAGCTCTCTACTTGTGACCCACCACCCTGAGGAGGGCGAGCTTCTGGGGAAGGCAGGACCCTCAGAGGCCAGGAGCACGAGCTCTGCATGCCTGCTGGCATCCACACCTCTCAGTGACATCACGGTCCCTGCCCCTTCACCTCAATTGATCCTCATCCTCAGACACCAGGACCCAGGCTCTGCTGGGAAGGAGCAGTAAGGGGGCTGCTGTTAAACGAGCAAAAGGCCCAGCAGGTCAAGCTGGGGAACCACGGCCGCCCTCAATGAGGGCGTGGCACTCAACGCTTCTGAGAGTAAGCAAAATCCAGTGAGTGGGCCCTGGGGGCTGTATGTGTCTACGACTGTGAGTGAAGGGATGGGGACGACAGGCCCAGGAATGGAAATCCTGAGGAGAATGCAGACAGTCCCACCTTATCCATGGTTTCACTTTCTGCTGTGTTAATTACCAGCAGTCAACTGAGGTCTGAACTTACTACATGGAAAATTTCAGAAATAAATAACTCATGGGTTTTAAATCGCCTGGGCACAGTGGCTCATGCCTGTGATCCCCACACTCTGGGAGGCCGAGGCGGGAGGATCACCTGAGGCTGGGAGTTTGAGACCAGCCTGGCCAACATGGTGAAACCCCGTCTCTACTAAAAATACAAAAATTAGCTGGGCATCGTGGTGGGCGCCTGTAACCCCAGCTACTCAGGAGGCTGAGGCAGGAGAATCGCTTGAACCCGGGAGGCAGAGGTTGCAGTGAGCCAAGGTCGCACCATTGCACTCCGACCTGGGCAACAGAGCCAAAAAAAAAAAAAGAAAAAAAAAAAACAACAAACCAAAAACAAACAAAAAAAACTGCATGCCATCCTGAGTAGCAGGATGAACTCTGGCTCCATCCCGCCCAGGACAGGGGTCAACCCTTTGCCCAGCATACTCATGCGTCTACACCACCTGTCCCTGAGTCACTTAGGAGCCATCTTGGTTATCGGAGCAGCTGTTGAGAGATCACAATGCTTGTGTTCCAGTTGCCTTCTTTTACTTTATAACGGCCCCAAAGCGCAAGAGTAGTGATGCTGGCGCTTTGGAGAAATCAGAGAAGTCATTAAGTACTTCCCTTAAGCGAGAAGGCAAAAGTTTCTGACTAAAACGAAAGAAACAACTTTTATTATAGTCTCTTGTAATGATTGTTTTACCATTAGTTGTTGTTAATCTCTTACTGTGCCTAGTTTATGAATTAACTTATCATAGGTGCGTATGCCTAGGAAAACACATAGTACACACAGGGCTCAGTACTTTCCACAATTTCAGGCACCTACTGGGCTCTTGGAACATACTGCCCCGGGTAAGTAGGAGCTACTGTGTCAAAAAGGGAATCAACGGGCCACCACAATCATGGCCGAAAGCAGCCTTGAGAATGGATTTCTCTTTAGTGAGGAAACTAAAGCAGATAGAGATGGGATCTGCCCAAAGCTCGCAGCTATGACAACGCTCTCAACGCTCGTTCAGTTCATGCCGGAAGGGGTCCTTAGGAAACGCACGGACGGGCCTCTGCTTAGTGCACCCGACCTCTCCATCTCAGCCCCTTCATCTGTGTACCCCCCCATCTCCCCAGCACATCAGCAGCCTCTGCTGCAAATCATGAGCTTTCCACGCACTGTCAGCGCCTAAGCGCCTGCCACAGCTGCAAGGGCCGGCCGCTGCCACACTCACCGGATTGGCAATGATGCAGATCATAGCTTCTGGGCAGTGCTGGGCACAGGCAGCAGCCAGGGTGGCCACAATCGTGGCATTGGTGTTAAACAGGTCGTCCCGGGTCATGCCTGGAAATGATCCAATATGAGATGTTAACAGAGAACACCACAAACTTCCAGACAGGCAGAATGTGCTGAGCGTCAGCTGTTACAGGAAATTTAGCCACTCAAGGTCCCCGTTTCAAGTCAGTCTCTCTTGCAGGGTAAACGATCCAGCACGATGAGTGCCAGAAGTGAGGTCTGTGTGGGTGGAGCGGGGAGGACAATATCTCAGAAGGACCATAGAGGTTTCATAAGAACCCCCGAGGTAGTGTGGGGCTGAGGAGAGGGAACGGCGTCTGTGCACAGAGGCACAGGGAAATGGCAAGACGACTTTGATCCTAGGCCAACAAAGAGATGTGACCTTTACCCCACAGGCAACGGGAGCTGGTGGCATTTTCCCTACGAAAAAGCAACCGGATTAAACCCATTTTTAACAGAAAATGGGTTTAATCCCCACATCTTCAAGTGGGGAGGTACCAGACAAGGCTTTCAAACACAAACCTGGTTTTCTGGGGACTCCGGCTGGAATAACTACCACATCACAGCCTTTTAGGCAGTCAGGCAGCTGTTCAGGTCCGAGGTAGCCTAGAACACACACCCCAAAAGAGAAATGTCACTGCTTCTGATTCAGAGAGGCCTGGAAAGTTCAGCCCTGGCCTTAATGCCAACTAATGGCCTCGAGAAAGGCTAGAAACCCCACCTGTAACGTGACTTTCTTCTGTTAACGACTACTGCCCTGCGAGCTGACAATCCCTGTGGCAGGAACCCTCCCCTTCTACCCTGCTTTCCCCAACCTCTCCTTGCCCAGGCCCCAGCTAGAATGGGTCAAGCCCTCCAGGTTTCCACAAAAGCAAACTGAGCCACTGCTTGTCTACATCCTACTCGTGAGCACTGTAAGTCACTCTTGGCCTCCAGTCAGAATGAGGAGCCGCTCGTTCCCCACCACCATCCTGATGAAAACTCCTTTTTTTTTTTTTTGAGATGGAGTCTTGCTCTGTCACCCAGGCTGGAGTGCAGTGGTACAATCTTGGCTCACTGCAACCTCCACACCTCCCGGCTTCATGTGATTCTCCTGTTTCAGCCTCCCAAGTAGCTGGGATTACAGGTGTGCACCACCACATTTGGTTTAATTTTTGTATTTTTAGTAGAGAAGGGGTTTCACCAGGTTGGCCAGGCTGGTTTTGAACTCCTGAACTCAAGTGATCCACCCACCTTGGCCTCCCAAAGTACTGGGATTACAGGTGTGAGCCACTGTGTCGGCCCAAACTCCTTGATCAGAAGGCAATGAAGGCCAGGAAAGGAAACGAGCTGTGCTGAAAGACTCTAAATATTACTATTTCATTTACTCCTATCATCTGAAGGAAAAAGTATGTTTTCAAAGATTTCAGGGAAATTTGCTAAAATATCCAAAATCTGCTTTGATCTTGGCTTTTTCCTTAATGCAGGAGCCTTCTTAACCCAAATATACAGCCCAAAAGAAAATGGGCAACCCGTTCAGAGAACTCTGGAAGGTGCATGAACATAAAATTTGCCAGGCAGCCTCCCCAGTTATTTACACCAACTTAAGACTTATGTAAACGCCATCAGACACAGTATCCTCATATGCTGTTGGAGGGGAAAGAAATCAGTAGAACCTTTCTGGAAAGCAATTTGAAGCTTTATAGTAAATGCTTTGAAATATTCATACCTACTAATTCTATGTTTAGAACTCTAAGACTTAAACAAGATGTAAAGACAAAGATACATACTGTAGCTTATATTAATATATTTGTATTTACAGAAGCAAACAGGAAACAGTCAATGGTCAACAGCAGAGCTATCATAAATGATAAATTACAGCTTTAAAAATAATTTTATCAAGAAGTTGGGCTGGGCACAGTTGCTCATGCCCGTAATTCCAGCACTTTGGGAGGCCGAGGTGGGTGGATCACTTGAGGTCAGGAGTTCTAGACCAGTTTGGCCAACATAGTGAAACCCCATCTCTACCAAAAACACAAAAAGTAGCCGGGCACGGTGGCACGTGCCTGTGGTCCCAGCTACTCGGGAGGCTGAGGTAGGAGAATCACTTGAACCCAGGATGGGGAGGTTGCAGTAAGCCAAGATTGTGCCACTGTATTCCATCTGGGAGACAGAGCAAGATAGTCTGTCTCAAAAAAAAAAAAAAAAAAGAATTTGGTGACATGCAAAAATGTTGATATATTGTGAAGTTTAAATAAACAGCATATATAAATATATATATTTATGGATGATATTATTTTTGAGACAGGGTCTCGCTCTCTCACCTAGGCTGAAGTGCAGTGGTGCAATCAGGGCTCACTGTAGCCTCAACCTCCTGGGCTCAAGTAATCCTCCTACCTTAGCCTCCCAAGTAGCTGGGATGACAGGTGCACACTATCACGCCCGGCTAGTTGTACTTTTTGTCGAGATAGGGGTCTCGCCATGTTGCCTGGACTGATCTTGAACTCCTGGACTCAAGTAATCCTCCTGACTTGGCCGCCCAAAGTGCTGGGATTACAGGCATAAGCCGCTGTACTGAGTCCACTGAATCATTTCCCGACAACATTTACTGAATATCCGACACTGCCTTCCACGGACGGGCAAGTTTCCCAAAGAGGCCGTGCTTTTTGAGAAGCTGGCAAGACAACGCTGGGCTGGAGGGAAGGCAGCCCGCAGCTGGGACCACCACCTTACTGTCCCCAAATCCTCACCACAGGTTGCTGACACTTCCCTCTTCCCCATCTTCATACAACTTTTCAAATCAGAAAAAGTAGAAAATGGGATGATTAGGGTACCTCACATTTCTAAAAGACACTGCTATTTCAATTTTTACAGACTCAAGTCCAACAGGGTGTAATCACTTGTAAAAGTTAAATTTAAAACAAACAGAGAAACCCCAGGTCTCTAAACATTTAGTTTCATCTAAGAATCTTACTGAAAACTCAGATCCTGGCCTACTGGGGACAGGAGGCAAGTCTCCAGGGTCACGTGCCCAGTACCTTTCACAACGGCTTTGGTCTCGATGTGGCTCAGATCTGCGGCCACTCCGGGTGTGTGCGCGATATCATAGAGTGTCAGGCGGCTCACCAAGGGGCTGTTCTTCAGGAGAAGTGAAAGCGGCTGCCCGATGCCTCCAGAGGCCCCTAGCACGGCTACTTTAGCATTGTTCTAAAAAAGAGGCACAGAGAAAGGACTCTTAGGACGAAATGAGCATGAAAAGGATTCACATGGTATCCTGTAAAAATATTGCACTCAGGCCTTTTTACTGCAGTTGCCAAAGCCAGATATAATCATTGTATCAGTCTCATTCTGGACGAATTCAGGACCTTCATTCCAAAGGTCCACTTTCAAATGGGGAGAATTTACATCTGTAGAGGCTGTGATACTCAGGGCACTTCAAAACCCTCCTGAAAGATGAGGAACAAGCTGGACTCCATCAGGCAGCTGGACTGGTAATAGCAGCCTTACCTCCAACCTGCAGCTTTACAAACTATGAACACACTGAGTGCCTAGCAACAGGCCTCCCGGTAACTGAGGCTGCAGGAAGATCCCTGCTGGCTCTGGAGGAGACAGGTAATGAGATGCATTAGGGGCAGAGAGAACACTGTCACAGAGGCCCCTTGTGCAAGAGGGCAGACAAGGGTGCGGCGATCAACTCCCTGCAGGGGTGGGGAATCAGGGAAGGTCCATCCAGGCAGCAAACTTGTGGCTGGAGCCTCAGGCAGGATGAGTAGCGCCTAACAAGAGGGGGAAGGGGTTATGTACATGGGGAAAGGCTCCAACCCTCCTAGGCGAGTCAGATCTGTCATCTTGGGCTCCAGTATCTCATACAGTTTCTCCAGCCTAGGTGTGTATCAGAGCCACCTGCTGAGCTAATGAAGCCCACCCAAGACTAGGCTCCTGGAAGCGGGATGGGGCTTAGGCCTTGGCATTTTTGCCATTTTCCCTAGATGATTTTGATATCAAACAGTTTGAGAATCACTGTTTCACACCAAGCTAATCAGAAGAACAGGCAGCAAAGTAGCAGCTGGCCCTGGGCATTTCAGCTTGGAACAGTTAGGAAAGTGATGGGGTGAAAGTGACCTGGCCCCACATCCGGCAATCACTCCTGTTAGCCCTGCAATTGGCAATCGCTCCCGTTATTCAAAGGCACTCTTACCCTCACTCAAGGTCTGACCAAAATTCCAGCCACCCCCAGGGAGCTTGTTTCTGATCTAAAATCACAAATGAGAAGCAGAGCCGATTCCTGGCAGGCAGGCAGCTGCCAGTGGGGGAAAAGGCAAACCAAGTGGCAGACACAGGAACTCCCGGCACCGTGTGTGGTCATCTGAGGTCTGACAGCATCACTGCACAATCTTCTACAGTAGCTGAGGCCAGTTAATAACAGGCTTTGGTTATCAGAAACCAAAACAAAACAAACCAAAAATCCGAACCAAGACGCTTACATGGTGCGTTTCTGCTCCGGAAATTAAACTGTGGAAGCGCACACAACCCACATTTGAATTCAAACAGGTTTTTGAGTTTCAAGTTGGTGCTTTAAAGGTGAACCCCTGGCTGCCTGGAAATTTGAACCTGTCAGACCCGCTCAGAACCTGAGGTTGGGCAGCCTCATCCACTTCTGGATCTTCAACTCTCACTCCCACATCTTGTGTGAGTCTTAGGGACTCCCAAATCCCAGTTCTGCATTCCCAGCTCTGTTAGGCACTCCATGGGTTCCACAAACTCATTTGTCCATTGATCCTGCCCCCAACCTCCATCCCTGGTCCCAAATGGCACTCGTGTTCACTGAACGTAAACTTGTAGAACCATCTTCTGCCGCCTTCTTCTTAACAGAGACATCAAATCAGGGCATGAAGAACTTGGCAGCTCAACCTCCCTCCCGACCCACTCCTCCTCTTCATTCTATTCCATTATCTAACTTAGGTACTCAGCGACACCTCCAAAGCACCCTTCCCCAAAATCAAAGTTTTAATCATTTCACTCTCGCGCTCAAATATCTAGCTGGCATGGTGGTGTGCACCTGTAGTCCCAGCTACTCAGAAGGCTGAGGTGGGAGGATCACTTGAGCCCAGGAGCTGAGGCTACCATGAGCCATGCTGGTGCCACTGCACTCCAGCCTGGGCAACAGAGCAGGATTCCATCTCTTTAAAAAATATCTTCTGGGCTGGGTGCAGTGGCTCACGCCTGTAATCCCAGAACTTTGGGAGGCTGAGGTGAGTGGATCACCTGAGGTCAGGAGTTCGAGACCAGCCTGGCCAACACGGCAAAACCCCATCTCTACTAAAAATACAAAAATTAGCCGGGCATGGTGGTGCACGCCTGTAATCCCAGCTACTCAGGAGGCTGAGGCAGGAGAATTGCTTGAACCCAGGAGGCGGAGGTTGCAGTCAGCGGAGATTGCGCCACTGCACTCCAGCCTGGGCGACAGAGCAAGATTCTGCCTCAAAAAAAAAAAAAAAAAAAAAAAAAATCTTCCAAAGCTTTCATGCCTCCAGCATTCAGCCAGGGCAGTGGTTTCACAGGGGAGTACCCAGGACAATCCCACCAGGGCAGAGGATGAAGATGCTGCAATGAGCTTTTTTTTTTTTTTTTTTTTTTTTTTGAGACAGTCTCGCTCTGTCGCCCAGGCTGGAGTGCAGTGGAGTCATCTTGGCTCACTGCAAGCTCCGCCTCCCGGGTTCACGCCATTCTCCTGCCTCAGCCTCCGAGTAGCTGGGACTACAGGCGCTCGCCACCGTGCTCGGCTAATTTTTTGTATTTTTAGTAGAGACGGGGTTTCACCGTGTTAGCCAGGATGGTCTTGATCTCCTGACCTCGTGATCCGCCCACCTCGGCCTCCCAAAGTGCTGGGATTACAGGCATGAGCCACTGCGCCTGGCCGTATCTTTTCTTTTTGAGATAGGGTCTCCCTCTGTCGCCTGGGCTGGAGTGCAGTGGTGCAATCTTGGCTCAGTGCAACCTCTGCCTTTTCGGTTCAAGCCATCCTCCCCACCTTAGCTGTAGCTGGGGCTACAGGTGTGCACCACCATGCCTGGCTAATTTTCGTTTTTTTTGTTTATAGAAATGAAGTTTTGCCACATTGCCCAGGCTGGTCTCAAACTTCTGAGCTCAAGTGATCCTCCCACCAGAGTCTCCAAAGTGCTGGGATTGCAGGTGTGAGCCACCAAACCCGGCCTGTGTCTATCTTTATCTAACAAAGTATTAATCTCTACCAAGAAATGGACTGACCTGCGCCCTCACTAGGGCACTTAAATGGATCAGTTCCACGTGTACATAAGGTGAATACAACATGGGGGAGGGAGGGGAAGAGGACTGTTTCACTGGTTTCTCTGCTTTCACTGTGTCAAGGTGATGTCACTGTTGTATATTACAGGACGTCATCAGCTTAAATTAATATTTACAAAATCAGGATCCTTAAGTAGTGTAATCTTTACCATGCTTTGCAATGAGATGAAAATCTTTGGTGGTCCGGAGGTTAGATCATGATCTGCTTGTCAAAGAGCTGTCTTCCAGACCCGCTGACCTTTGCTGGGTGGCAGAGTGGCTACCAACAGCACACTGCTTGGCAACTGTGTTGAAAACGGACATACAGTAACACCGTCTTTATCTGTACGTTTTAACACCTTATAATGTGCTATGCTTGTTTTAAAATTTTGACTTGAGTTTATATTGAAATGTATACATTAGTACATATATGTATCAGTAAATATATTGGAGCTATGTGCTTTCTACATTTTTACTGTTAAAGATACAGGATCCAGCTGGGCGCAGTGGGTCACACCTGTAATCCCAGCACTTTGGGAGGCTGAGGTGGACAGATCACCTGAGGTTGGGAGTTTGAGACCAGTGTGACCAACATGGAGAAACCCCTGTCTCTACTAAAAATACGAAATTAGCCAGGTGTGGTGGTGCATGCCTGTAATCCCAGCTACTCGGGAGGCTGAGGCAGGAGAATGGCTTGAACCCAGGAAGCGGAGGTGAGCGGAGATCGCGCCACTGCACTCCAGCCTGGGCAACAACAGCAGAACTCCGTCTCAAAAAAACAAAAAAACAAAAAAAAAACAAGATCCAAAGTCTGGAGACCACTGCACCATGGGCTCGAGTCCATCTTTCTGCTTTCATCAGCTGCCCTCTCAACAATGTTGCTTGTATGACCAACAGGCATTTTAAAATGAACATATCTAAAACTCAGCTCCCAGCTGGGCGCGGTGGCTCACACCTGTAATCCCAGCACTTTGGGAGGCCAAGGTGAGTGGATCACTTGAGGTTAGGAGTTGGAGACCAACCTGGCCAACATGGTGAAACCCCATCTCTACTAAAAATACAAAAAAAATTAGTTGGGCACGGTGGCAGCACCTGTAATCCGAGCTACTGGGGAGGCTGAGGTGAGAGAAGCACTTCAGCTCAGAAAGCAGAGGCTACAATGAGCCAAGATCACGTCACTGTACTCCAGTCTGGGTGACAGAGCGAGACTCTGTCTCAATCAATCAATCAATCAATCAAACTGAGCTCCTGATGTCTTCTCCCTGCCTAAACCCACTCTCTTCCATAAGTCTTGCCTATCTATTTCAGCCCAACTCCAAGGCCCCAAACCTTGGTGTCATCCATGACCCCTTATTCAATCACAGATCAGCAAACCCTTCTGGTACCATCAACAAACACCCAGAATGCAACCGTTTCTTACCACCTGCACCTAGATGACCACAATGAACTCCTAATTCACCTTTTTCTCGCTTCTAAGACCATCTTGTTAATTGGAAGGAAGAGCAAGTCATTACGCAGCTGAAAACCCTCAAATGGTCACCCTATTTCTGAGAAAAAAACGAAAATTTTACAAGGCCTGTTCTGTTACCTCCACTGCTTTCTCTGAACTACCCTAGCCTCACGTTCTCAAACCTTAGAGGCATGCCCCATGCTTCTCCAAGGGCTCTCAGCTACGTCTTGAGACGTATCCCGTACCTGGAATACTCTTTCCATATGGTGTGATCTCTGCTTCCTTTGGACTTTTACTTAAACATCTCATCCTGGGTGAGGCCTACCCTGGCTGATGTAAAATTGCTACCCTTGGTTGGGAGTGGTGGCCCATGCCTGTAATCCTAGCATTTTGGGAGGCCAAGGAGGAGACCAGCCCGGCCAGAGGCAGGAGGATCACTTGAACCCAGGAGTTAGTTGCAGTGAGCCGAGATGGCGCCCACTGCACTCCAGCCTAGAAGACAGAGTGAGACTCTGTCGGGACCATCCTGGCCAACATGGTGAAACCCCGTCCCAGGGTGTGGTGGCGCACGCCTGTAGTCCCAACTACTTGGGAGGCTGAGGTAGCAGAATCGCTTGAACCTGGGAGGCAGAGGTTACAGTGAGCTGAGATCATGCCACTGCATTCCAGTCTGGTGACAGAGAGACTCTGCCTCAAAAAATAAATAAATAAAATTGGTACCCTCTACCCTAACACAAGCACCCTACAATCCCCATTTTTCCTGTATGTTCATCACTACTTTAAGATACCTTATAGTGGGGCAATAAGTAAAACATCTAGTAATTTCCATGAGAGCAGGGACTTCTGTGTTTTGTTCACCGATGTATTTCCAGTACCTAGCTTAATAAATATGTCACATATCTGAAGGTCCTACCAAAACTCAACCTCTCCCGGGACATCACTCTTCCCTGTCCTACCTTTAGTCGGCTGCCCCTCCCCCACACCTCATCGCCTCCTGTTCTAAGCTCACTCATTCCCTAAGACCTTCATCGCCTCCACCTATCCTAAATTTACTCATTCCCTAAGACCTTCATCGCCTCCACCTGTCCTAAGTCTACTCCTTCCCTAAGACCTTCATTGCCTCCACCTGTCCTAAATTTACTCATTCCCTAAGACCTTCATCGCCTCCACCTGTCTAAGAAAGTCTACTCATTCCCTAAGACCTTCATTGCTTCCCACCTGTCCTAAATTTACTCATTCCCTAGGAGCCTTCATCGCTTCCACCTGTCCTAAGTCTACTCATTCCCTAAGACCTTCTGTTTGCTTCCACCTGTCCTAAATTTGCTGTTCCCTAAGACCTTCCTTAGCCTCCACCTGTCCTAAGTCTACTCATTCCCTAAGACCCATCGCCTCCACCTGTCCTAAGTCTACTCATTCCCTAAGACCTTCATCGCCTCCACCTGTTCTGTCTACTCCTTCCCTAAGACCTTCATCGCCTCCACCTGTTCTGTCTACTCATTCCCTAAGACCTTCATCGTTTCCACCTGTCCTAAGTTTACTCATTTCTGTCCCATCTCAAGTGCCACCTCTCACTTAATTTGGTATCCCCTGCAGCACCCAGCATAGTTGTTGGCAAGCACAGGGACTTAATGGACTTATCTGTCTACAGCTGGGCCCCCACTTTACCACAGCTCAAAAGCATTTGGTACATTCAACTTACGATGGGGTTGCGTGTGGGAAGCCAATGCGAGTTGAAAATATACAAAGTTAAACTCGCCTTTTGACTTAGGATATTATCAGCTTGCGGTGGGTACGGGAAGCAGCCATAAATCCAGGAGCATTTGTATTTATTTTTCAAATGAACTGGATATACAGGAAACCGGAGGAGAGAACTTCAATGATAAATTTGGATTCCCCTTTAAAATTACCTCCCTCCTGGGTGTCGTAATTAAAAGGCAATGCGGGCACCTCCTGGGTTCTCAAACTTAGGTTTAATTAGATTCACTTGGTAAAAATGCGGAAACCCCGGTCTTACGCTTCTTCAATGATCCCAGGCCTCTGTTTTTTATTAGCTTTCCGGTGATTCTGACACACAGCAGAGTTTAAGAACCACCGTTCTAGAAGATGGCTAAAAATAGCCTAGGCTTAAGTGGTCGCTGGCCAAGTCAAGCACTGTGTTAAGACACCTGGCGGCAGGCTCAGTCCGCCCACAGCAGGAGAGATCCTCCAGAAAGGTTAAGAGGAAGCCGTCTTCAGGTCAAAAGCGCTGAATTCTAATCCTCTGGCCAGATGACTGTGTAACCCTGGCCCAGTTCTCTAGCCTCGGTTTGTCCATACTATGGAGTCAGAAATTATACGATTTCTTTTATTCACGCACAACTCACACGGATGCTGCAAGAAGGAGATTAGCTATATTAAAGCAATGAAAAACTGCAGGAAAAAACGTAAGTTTACTTTCAGATCCAGAGCCCTGGTTTCCTAACCTTGAAGGCGTGCAGGCCCTCTGCGGAATCTGGCAGACCTGGGGGGAGCCCTGCCAAATAAATGGACCGGCCCTGGAGCGGGACTACCTCGCCCCCTTCTCCTCGGCTTTCTCCCCCGCATCTCCAGGCCAGTGTCAGGGCCTGCCCCGGGCGCCACAATCTCCAGCCAGTGCCGGGCAGCCCTGCGGTCCAGGCTGGCCTGGAGAGGGTCAGAGCTGCTCGCGAACCGGGGACACACGTGGCCCGGGCCGGGTGGGGGTGTGCTCCGCCTGCAAGCCGCCCCTCGTCAGGCCTACCTGGGCCGAGGTGCTGAAGCTGCGGCGGAGAGCAGCGCTGGCAGGCCGGGCGAGGGCGGAAAGCATGGCTGGAGCGGGAGGGGCGCCGACGGGCAGACACAGTAGCTGCTGACAGGCAAGTGACTCCAACGACCTCCACGCTCCGCAGCGGTCCCGGCTCTGCTCCGTGGGGCCTCGCGAGAGTGACCGGACTTCCGGTTGCGCTCGCCTCCGGGATCTCGTGAGATCATGACCACTTCCGGGAGTCGGAAAGGAAGGTTCTGGGATGCCCCTGGCAACCCTGGTGTTTGGCTGGGTCATAGCGTGGCCGGTGGGGGACCTGTGGTCGGAGTGGGAGGGGCAGTCCGCACCCAAGAGGTAGAAGAGGACGGGCTTTAGGCTGGAAGCGCCTTAGAGGAGCCATTTTTTCAGGTGGGGTCCCAGGCAGAGAGGCTCGGACAGGGAACTTGGCCAGAGTCGCACAGCCCGGGAGGTGGAGTGAGTCCCAGACCCGAGACCCAAACCCATCCCTCCCGCCCCTGGAGAGCAGCGGGGGCTCTGAGCTCCGGAAAGGCACGGGCTGGGGAGGCTGAGAGTCCTTGGGCGGGGTGGGAGGAAGGGATCATCTCCTCATATCCGGGCCGTCGTCCCCCAAGTTGCAGAGACCCTTGGGTTCGTACAAAAATTTCATACAAAAAATACAAAAAATTAGCCGGGCGTCGTGGCGTACGCCTGTAATTTCAGTTACTTGGGAGACTGAGGCAGGAGAATCGCTTGAACCTGGGAGGCGGAGGCCAAGATTGCGCCAATGCACTCCAGCCTGGGCAACAAGAGCAAAACTCTGTCTTGGGGAAAAAAAAAAAAAAAAGTATCAATACCAGAGAGTTTATGGCGACTGCTGTACTCTCCTTCCTCTCTTCCACTTCTTTATTGAACTGTTAAGATATGCCAGCCTGGCTGGGGGCAGTGGCTCATGCCTATAATTCCAACATAGCAAGACCCAATCTCTATATTTCATTTTTAAAAGAAAAAAAATTTTCAAAAAAGATACACCAGCCCGATTTGGGAGCTGAGTGTTCTGCTGTGAACAGGATCTACACATTCTTTGCCTTTAGGGAGCTCAGTCTAGTGGGAGAGACAAGTAAATTGCAGGCAGCACAAATGAACAACAATAGAAGTGTGAAGTGCTGTAGGGATGCAGAGGAGGTTTGTTTAACCCAGGATTGGGATGGGGGTAGGCGCTGTGTGAGAGAGGACCTTCCAAAGCTGAGATGTGGCCCCATATAGTGGGTCATGCCTGTAATCCTAGCACTTTGGGAGGCTAAGGCGGGAGGATTGCTTGAGGCCAGAAGTGTGAGACTAACCTGGGCAACATAGTGAGACCCCCCATCTCTCTCTCTATATATGTATATATAATAGATTTTTTTTAATGTTAATTTTTATTTTTTTGAGACAGAGTCTTTGTCATCCAGGCTGGAGTGCAGTGGCACAATCTCTGCTCACTGCAACCTCTGCCTCCCAGGTTCAAGCAGTTCTCCTGCCTTATTCTCCTGAGTAGCTGGGATTAGCGCGCCATCACACCTGGCTAATTTTTTGTGTTTTTAGTACAGACAGGGTTTCACCATGTTGGTCAGACTGGTCTCGAACTCCTGACCTCATGGTCCACCCGTTTCAGCCTCCCAAAGAGCTGGGATTACAGGCGTGAGCCACCGCGCCCGGCCTTCTGTATATTTTTAAAATTAAAAAACAGAAACACCGCCAGGCAAGGTGGCTCATGCCTGTAATCCCAGCACTTTGGGAGGCTGAAATGGATTACTTGAGGCCAGGAGTTCAAGACTAGCCTGGCCAAAAATGGTGAAACCCCGTCTCTACTAAACATATAAAAATTAGCCCAGCATGGTGGTGCACACCTGTAGCCCCAACTACTCTGGAGGCTGAGGCAGGAGAATCACTTGAACCCCGGAGGTGGAGGTTGCACTGAGCCGAGATCACCCCACTGCACTCCAGCTTGGGTGACAGAGAAAGACTGTCTCAAAAAAAAAAAAAAAAAAAAAAGCCAGGTGCGGTGACTCACGCCTGTAATCCCAGCACTTTGGGAGGCCGAGGCGGGTGAATCACCTGAGGTCAGGAGTTTGAGACCAGTCTGGCCAACATGGCGAAACCCCATCTGTACTAAAAATACAAAAAGTAGCCGGGCATGGTGGCATGCGCCTGTAGTCCCAGCTACTTGGGAGACTGAGGCATGAGAATTGCTTGAACCGGGAGGTGGAGGTTGCTGTGAGCCGAGATTGTGCCATTGCACTGCAGCCTGGGTGACGAGCGAAATTCTGTCTCAGAAGTGCACACACACAAAGCAGATAAGCTGAGACATGCTGGAAGAATAGAGTAGGTGTTTTTCAATGGAACTTTTAACTCCAGAGGAGGGAGAGATCCTTTGCCTGGGAATCGGAATTGTCAAAGGAGGGGCGCTAGGACCTGGATATTTAACAATGGGAAATGTTCAGACAGGAAAGGAGGAGAAAAAAGGCCAAATAAAAACCTGGAGGGGGAAAAAAATAAGCATAGGCCAGTTTTCAGGGGACAGTAAATAGATCATTTATTTTGGAATGGGGACATTAGGACAAGCAGTGTCCCTTATCACTGACTGCATACTCTGGTAATTATTTACTCCTCTGTAAATTAGAACTAAGAGCACCTCGGAGCCTGGTACTCTTTCATCTTTGTGTCTTTTTTTTGTCCAGCATGTGACTGGGCTGAGAGTGGACCTCAGTGAATTTGAGAGTTGAGTGGTTTTAGTTACAGCTGGAAACAGCAGGTTGGGAAAAACTAGATTGTGCCGGTCCTATGAATGTTAGCTGAAAAGTTTGTATTTCATTTCTTGGGAAGCAAGTGTTTTTGTTTTTGTGTTTTTTTTGAGATGGAGCCTCACTCTGTTGCCCAGGCTGGAGTGCAGTGGCGTGTTTTGGCTCACTGCAACCTCTGCCTCTGGGTTCATGCGATTCTCCTGCCTCAACCTCCCGAGTAGCGGGGATTACAGGCGCGCACCACCACACCGGGCTAACTTTTGTATTTTTAGCAGAGTCGGGGATTTGTCCCGTTGGCCAGGCTGGTCTCTAACTCCTGACCTCAAGTGATCTGCCCGAGTCAGCCTCCCAAAGTGCTGGAATTACAGGCATGAGCCACTGTGCCTGGCCAATCAGAGGCTGTTGTGACACGGCCAGTACTGGGTTTGAGGAAGATGTGACCTTGCATGCTAAGGATTCCCGGGGGGGAAAAGAAATGGAGGGCAGGGAGATTGTTTAGGAATCTATTTTATGGGTGACAAAGGTCTGAATTGTGGTGATGGCCATGGAAATGGAGTGGGAGGGGCCAGTGTGGGAGAAGTGTCATGTGATGGCCATGGAAATGGAGTGGGACAAAGGTCTGAATTGTGGTGATGGCTATGGAAATGGAGTGGGTGGGGCCAGTGTGGGAGAAGTGTCATGTGATGGCCATGAAATGGGAGTGGGTGGGGCCAGTGAGAAGTGTCATGGATGGCCATGAAATGGGAGGGAGGGGCCAGTGTGGAGAAGTGTCATGTGATGGCCAAGTGGAAATGGAGTGGGTGGGGCCAGTGGGAGTAAGGGCTTGCAAGAATGGGTGAGAGTCAGTGGTGCTCCTCTGGGTTTGAGGAATGAATGAAAGGGGTGTGGAAAGTACATAAAGAGGGAAGTCGGGTTACACCAAAGAGCTCCATTATAGATGGGCTTAATTGGGAGTGATGCTGAGTTGTCCATCAGTGGTCTGGGCCAGGCTCATGCCTGTAATCCCAGCACTTTGAGCAGCCAACACGCACGATCACTTGACCTCAGGAATTGAGGATCAACCTGGGTAACATGGCAAAACCCGGTTTCTACAAAAAGTACAAAAATTCTCTGGGCATGGTGGTGTGCACTTGTAGTCCCAACTACCTGAGAGGCTGACATGGAATGATCGCTTGAGCTTAAGTGATCTGGAGAGGTAGAGGCTGCAGTGAGCCATGATTGCACCACTGCATTCTGACATGGGTGAAGAGCAAGTTTTGTCTCATTTAAGGAAAAAAAAAAAAGGAGCGGTGGGATTGAAACTCAGAGGGCAGGGCAGAAGTCACCTCTGTAGAGGTGTTGAGACCATGAGCAATAAACTGGAATCACAGATTGTCAGGCTCGCTCCCACATCTGGAATTCAGTTCCCTTCACATTCCTCCCAAGAGTTCCTCTTCCACAGAAGAGGAACTCGCTACCTCCCAAGCCTTCTACTTGGGCCATCCCAAACAACTTGACTGCTAGAAAAGCCTCACATTTGGCCGGGTGCAGTGGCTCTTGCCTGTAATCCCACCACTCTGGAAGGCCAAGGTGGGAGGATCACTTGAGCCCAGGAGTTCGAGACCAGCCTGGGCAACACAGGGAGACCCTGTCTACAAATAATAAAAATAAGCCAGTCATGGTGGTATGTGCCTGTGATCCCAGTTACTCAGGAAGCTGAGGCAGGAGAATTGAGCCTGGGAGGTCGAGGCTGCCGTGAGCTGCACCCCAGCCTGGGTGACAGAATGAGACACTATTTCAAAGGAAAAAAAGAAAAAAGCCTCACGTTCAGCTCCTATCTGCCTCTCTCTAAGGAAATACCAAGGTAATTAACAGTCTTAATGGCTGCTGTTTCAAGCACTGTGTGGTAGGCATTGATTTTACTTGGTGTTTTGCAAATGAAACTTTATTGAACAAGCAGGGTTTCCACAGTCAAGAAGTAGAATCCAATCATACAACAGCTTTCTGTCTTTAAATCTTTGCTTGCCCTTGGATTCCATCTGGTTACCAGGACAGACTCACTGCAATGGCCAGTGTCCAGTTCATGTTAATAATCAAAACTAGGAATTTAATTCAAAGGTAAAGCTGCTTCTCTTCCTCTCTCAAGCTTTCTTTGGGCTCCCACATAGGAGGAGGACAGTAGTTGACTTCTGTTTGTTTCCCCTTCCATCCCACCCCACCCCAGGCCGACTGTGGCTTCTGAGGCATCCTATGTTGGTAGAGGGGGTTATAAGAGAGTAGAGATGGGGCAAGAAAAGTGCCTTCGACATCTGGCCTTGTTACTGTCTCAGCTTGATGGGAATTTGTAACTGACTCTCCCATGCAGTGCTTCTGGGGGTCTTTCTTACCTCCGTTTCCCGTGATCCAGGTGGCCGTCTCAGTCTTGCTTTCAATTCCTCCCTTAGCCCCTGGCTTCTGGAATCCTCCACCACATGCCATTGGGCTATTGTCCCTCAAGGTGGCCCTCTTGGGCAAAGTTCCTTTAAAATGGCTTTTCGGCGCGGTGACTCACGCCTGTAATCCCAGCACTTTGGGAGACTGAGGCAGGCAGATCACCTGAGGTCAGGAGTTCGAGACCAGCCTGCCCAACATGATGAAACCCCGTCTCTACTAAAAATACAAATAATTAGGCGTGGTGGTGGGTGCCTGTAATCCCAGTTACTCGAGAAGCTGGGACAGAATGGCTTGAACCGAGACGGAGGTTGCAGTGAGCCAAGACTGCACTTCAGCCTGGGGGACAGAAAGCGAGACTCCATCTCAAAAAAGTAAAATAAAAATGAGTAAAATAGCTTCTAGTTGGCCTTCTCCCCTGCCTGGTCCACATCTGGTCTACAGGAAACACTTAGGCATCCTTTGCCCCAACAGATTCTGAGGGTGCAGGCCATTTCAAATGCAGGTGCTTCTTGCTTTGCCAATAGTTCGCCAGCCTCACGCCAGCCTCGGATTTCCAGCCCGAGGCCCAGCACCAGCCTCTGTGCCTGCACAAGCTTCAGAGGGCACAGGTCAGGCTACCTAGTAGCTTCTGGTTTCATGAATTGTTCCAAGAAAGCAGAGACTTGTGAATGTTTGGAATCAGAGAGAAAGATGCTAATAGGAAGAGCTTTGAGAGGCTGAAAGGAGAATGAGAGTAGGTGAAATTGGATGAGATCGGAGGATGCTTATCCCTTGGACTGTGGGGAAAAGCACATAAGGGCCAGGTGCGGTGGCTCACGCCTGTAATCCCAGCACTTTGGGAGGCCAAGGTGGGTGGATCACCTGAGGTCAGGAGTTTGAGACCAGCCTGGCCAACATGGTGAAACCCCGTCTCTACTAAAGATACAAAAAATTAGCCGGGAGTGGTGGCGCGTGCCTGTAGTCCTGGCTACTTGGGAGGCTGAGGCAGGAAAATCGATGGAAACCTGGAGGGAGAGGTTGCAGTGAGCTGAGATCGCGCCACTGCATTCCAGCCTGGGTGACAGTGAGATTCCGTTTCAAAAAAAAAGCATGTAAGGGCACCCAGGGAGCAGTTGGTGGAGGAGGATGACTCACAGCCAGTGGCCTTAACCTTCCCAGGCAAGACTAGAAAATTCGAGAAGTTGTTCCCAAAGAGAATTTGGTTTGCATAACAGTTGTGATCACTGAGAAAACGCTGGTCAAATGTGGAAAAACAAGAATGGGATTAGCTAGTGGCTGTGAGGACCAAGGTGAAGTTCTGTAGTGTGTACTTGCTGTGTTCTCAAGTTCACATAGTTTTCCATAGCCCAGACCCCATACGAAGGTCACAGACATCTACATACTCGCACACATGTGTACATGCACACACATGCACCTGCATATTCACATCCTGGAACACTGAAACACATCGATCACAAGGGAATTACTATTTTTTGGAGACAATCTCGCTTTGTCGCCCAGGCTGGAGTGCAGTGGCGTGATCTTGGCTCACTGCAAGCTCCACCTTCTGGGTTCACGCCATTCTCCTGCCTCAGCCTCCGAGTAGCTGGGACTACAGGCGCGTACCACTACGCCCAGCTAATTTTTTGTATTTTAGTAGAGATGGGGTTTCACCGTGTTAGCCAGGATGGTCTGGATCTCCTGACCTCATGATCTGCCCGCCTCAGCCTCCCAAAGTGCTGGGATTACAGGCGTGAGCCACCATGCCCGGCTGGGAATTACTATTTTTTTATTGATTTACAGTTTTCATACAGTAAAATATACAAGTCTTAAGTGTTCAGTTTCGTTTTGACAAATTCTACCCTTGTAACGACCACCCAAAACAAACTAAAACATTGCCATCATTCCAGAAAGTTCTCTCATGCTGCTTTCCGTTCATCCGTGAAGAGAGCTATTTCCTGATTTCTATGATCGTAAAGTTGCTATGTCTATTTGTCATTGGATAGGAAAATATACAAATACGTTGACAGCCCGTTTTAGTCTCTTTTCTGTTGCTATCACAGAGTACTTGAGACTGGGTAATTTATGTAGCAAAGAAGTTTATTTAGCTTACAGTTCTGGAGGCTGGGAAGTTCCAGATTGGGTAGCTGCATCTAGTTGGCTTCTGGTGAGGGCTGCATCTGCATCATAACATGGTGGTGGAGACGGGAAATTAGGTGTAGAAAAGGGAAAATGCAAGAGGCAACCTCGCTTTATAACAACCTGTTCTCAAGAACTAGTCCATTCCCTGGAGAAGACCTTCATCCATCTTCATAGCCAAATCACCTCTTACAGGCACCACCTAATACTACCACATTGGGGAGCAAGCCTCAGCATGAGTTTTGGTGGGGACAAACCATATTCAAAGCATAGCATACCCTCCTCACCCCACCCCTACACACCCACATGTACTCATCATTTTTTAACTTACAGTGGGCTTAGATCACAGTCATGTGCTATCAGATTTTTGGTATTAGGTGCACACATTATATACTAACCTAACTTCTCTTCAACCCTAAAGTCAGATCAAGTGAAGTATTTTACTATTTTAATTTTTTTTTTTTTTGGAGAGGAGGGGGTCTTACTATATTGCTCAGACTGGTTTTGAACTCCTGGCCTCAAGTGATTCTCCCAGCTCAGCCTCCCAAAGTGCTGGGATTACAAGTGTGAGCCACCATGCCTAGCCAAGTGAAGTATTTTAAACCTCTCCTTTTGGATCCCTGGAGCTAAAACAAGGGGTTAGAAAGGTGGTTATCATTCTGCCTTGCCTGGGAGTTTTACTTATTTTTCTGTAGCTGCTCTAGGATATTGGAAGTTGGGGACATGTATTTTTAAAACAGAACCATATTTAGATAAATAGCTTTTTTTTTTCTTTTCTTTTCTTTTGGGGGGGGAGGGGGGACGGAGTCTCACTGTATTGCCCAGGCTGGAGTGCAGTGGTGTGATCTCAGCTCACTGTAACCTCCATCTCCCGGGTTCAAGCGATTCTCCTGCCTCAGCCTCCTGAGTAGCTGGGATTACAAGCATGCACCATCACGCCTGGCCAATTTTGTATTTTTAGTAGAGATCAGGTTTTACCATGTTGGTCAGGCTGGTCTTGAACTCCTGACTTCGTGATCCTCCCGCCTCAGCCTCCCAAAGTGCTGGAATGACAGGCGTGAGCCACTGTGCCTGGCCTTAGATAAATAGCTTTAACTTTTACTTGGGCCTCCTGCCAGCTGGAAGTCAAAGGATTTGGCTTTCCAGGAAAGATCCCAGCAGAACAACCAGGAGGTGTTGGACTGGCCACAGCAGAGCCACCAGGGGGCTCCCAAGAGCTGAGAGTCGCTGATTGTGGCAGATCTGAGTCTGCAGTGAACCCTTCTGTCAGGCAGAGCAGCCTGAGGCCTGAGACAGGGGAGCAAAGCTGGGTCAGAGCCTGGTCAGGGCCGTGAACTCAAGTCAGAGAAGTGGAAGGTGAGGCCTGAGCCCAATCAGGGAGCAGAGGAAAAGCAGGCCCCAGAGGCAGAGTCAGAGGAAGTGAGCCAGAGGTGGTGGTCACTATCTTTGAGACAGTGTACTATAGTTCCCAGACCCCGCCCCTCCCCCTATCGCCAAGAGCCTAGTTGCCCTGCGAGTAGACCTGTTACCCTCACAGGATCACTAGGGTGCCTCTCAGGGGTCGAGTGGGCTTAGGTTTAGGGACATGTAATTGATAGCAGGATCTAAGATAAGGAGCAGGGATGTGGGCAGCTGGATCTAGGCCTCTGATCCATACCTGCTTCCCCTAAAATATAGAGATACTAGTGATGGAGGCCAGGTGCTATGGCTAAGGCTTGTAATCCCAACACTTTGGGAAGCCGAAGCAGGTAGATCTCCTGAGGTCAGGAGTTTGAGACCAGCCTGGCCTACATGGGGAAACCCTGTCTCTATAAAAATACAAAAATTAGCCTGTCATGGTGGTGTACGCCTGTAGTCCCTGCTACTGGGGAGGCTGGGGCAAGAGAATTGCTTGAACGTGGGAGGCGAAGGTTGCAGTGAGCTGAGATCGCGCCACTGCACCCCAGCTTCAGCAACAGAGACACTGTCACAAAAAGAAAAAAGGTGATAGTAGATACTAGCGATGATCAAGGCAAAGTTAGGAGGTTATGATGGCCCTGGCCTCCTCCTCCTCCCTCTTTCTTTCTTCTGTGCCAGTGGGACCTGGTGTCCCTCTGAGCTAAGAGACAGATTTCAGGCCCACTTCTGCAGCCTGGGGGTGTTGTGGCCTGGGACTGTGTTATCCAGCTTTGTCAAGGTTCAGGCCACAAAGAATGTGTCAAGCTGGGTTTGAGGAAAGACCGTACCAAATCCCTTAAGATCCTGACCCTCAGCTGGGCGTGGTGGCTCACCCCTGTAATCCCAGCACTTTGGGAGGCTGAGGCAGGAAGATCA